TTAGGGGATTAGGGGTTTAGGGGATTAGGGGTTTAGGGTTTGGGGTTTAGGTTCAGGATTACTTAGGGTGAGAGTGAGGCCTTTGGGTTGGCATATTGAGCTCTTGGGCGTAGGGGTTGCGGTTTGGGATTGCGGCTCAAGGTTCAGGGCTTCTTAACGGTATATGGCAAGAACTAACCGCAGCAAGATCCCACTCTCGTTGCTGTGGCGTTCTCCGTCATGTCCGTGGGACCAGCTGACGGCTTTCCTCGTGAACCTGATGCCCCGAAGCCTCAAGCCTGGATCCTAAAACCGTTTCTGTCTGATCATTGCTGCAACCGTCAGTGCTAGTCTTTTGTTGGAGTGGTGATGGTGCTGCTGATGGTGGCGGCTTCAACTGGCAATCTACATTAAAGACAGTTTCGCCTTCTCATCAGCGCAAAAAATGCCGAGGCAAGCCCGAAGCCCTCTATACCCTAAACCCTAANNCTAAACCCCTAAACCCTAGACCCTGTGGCCCAAACTCTAGAACTCTCGAGGCCCCACCCCAGCGCCAAGCCCAGGAGAGGCCACGGAACCGAAGAAGATGTCGTGGCTGGCGCTCTTGCAGGGACTGTGGGAGCTTACGCCACACGGAGGCCTTAAGGGTTCTTCGTTCTAAGGTTTTGCGGGTGGGGAGATTGCGGGGTTAGCCCTGCGAGAGATCTTGCACTGTGTATACTGGAGCTAGCACCGCGAATAAGAAGCTACATGGACAGAGTCTGCCCATGTTTGCTCCTCAGTAGTTCCCAGCACCAAGAAGACCCGGATGCAAAGGATCGGTCCGAGCCCTGGACAGGGTGAGTCTTAGATCCCTCTCTTATGCCGGAACACCTCAAGGCTTGATGCAAGTTTGCATCTACACGCAGTCAATTTGACTGCTGGCTCGTAGAGATTCGAGACAATAGCTTCAGGTGCTGTTCGGCAGGGCTTGGCCAACCGGGGGGGGGGGGGGGCTTTGGCAGGTTCGGTCAACACAGGGAAGTCCAAGTTTCTCAGGACCTGGTTACTGCTGAATTCGGTTCTGCCAAGAGCATAATGCGACAAGAGCGGATGGCATGCTCTGGTACACCAGAACGGCATAGTTCCTGAACCCGAAGCCCTTAAATATGCAGTGCCGGACACCAGAGCGTTCTTACCTCTCGGGTTTCGCGGCAACTTCACTCTGGGGCGACAGAAGCGCTTCTTACGATCATCGCTGTATGTCCCTTCCTAGCGAGTTTGCGTCGTGTAGCACAACATGATATACGCAGGGCTCTTTGCGTGGAACAACAGCTGGCCGACGTGATGAGCCTTCCGCTGTGTGTTTGAGATTGCAAGTTATAAATTGAGATGAGACGGCTTTGGACTCAGCTTTACATTGCTGAACCCAAGCCCGAAACCCCTAACCAGCGCCCTAAAGCCCCACTCCCTCCACCTGTAATGCTGTTGAGCGGCGCACAGGCTTGATTCCAAAGCTGACGGAACTGGACGAGACCCTGAAGGATAAGAAGCGCAACGGACTGTTCAAGAAGGACGCAAACAGCTCCTTGAGATCGCACGTATACATATTGTATGAAACAGTTTGTAGACATATGTATGCGAGTATATATCTATATATACATATACGAAGGCTCAGTTAGGCTTGCACAAACTCTCAGCTACTTGTAGGTCGGCACAGGACGCTTGCATCCGCCAATTTCACGATGTGACCCGCAGCAAAGTTCGATTGCCCACTCCACACAGCACTGTACAGCTGCCCCATGTTCCGGCGTTGTATGGTGTTGTGGGCCACCATACGCATGGATCCGAGTCTAAGCAGCAAGCATGCCACACAGTTTGATAATCAAGCATCGGTTTCGATACTTCAGCAGGAATATGCACACTCCTTCCATGGGCGTGTGTTCAATGCATTGTATGGCCAGGAAGTTGCTGGTAAATGCTGCGGTTTTTCCTTGCAGCAATTGCGCGGTATCTTTCACACGGGCGCCCTAGGTCTTCTTGCTTCCGCTCATTGTTGTAAAGTCAGCGTGGTAGAATGCCCCAAGGCAGCTTGAATGTCAAGGGCCAGCTCAATTTGCGCATGCTATCAGGCACGTGCAAGCAAGAGTGTATGTGTGTATGTGTGTCCGTGGATGCAGAGGCCCATGCCAGCTGCAAGCAGCAGATAAATTGTCCCAGACAATTTAGAAGTATTGACCATAGCTCGCAGTCGTACAAGAACTTTCATCTCCACTCCCCTTTTACAGATGGACCCGGGTACACTCGGAAACGGCCGGGGGGAAGAAGGGATGGGGGGGGGGGGGGGGGGGGG